CTTCATTCTGCGCCACCCCCTGGTGGTCATCGCACGTCATAGTGAGCAGTAGAACTCCTGGTCAGTCAAACTCGTGAGGTGACAATTTGCATATTAGCCTTTTATTATATAGGATAGGAAACCCACCCGCATTTCTTAGTGAGGGTGAACTGGAGTTTGGGGTAATAGGTATTTACTGTACAGGACTATTTTCAGCAACAAAAATTGTCCCTGCAGACATTTGCAAATGCCTCTTGTGAGTAGAATGGGACTTGGTAGTGGTGACATGCATCACCCATAGAAAACAACTGGTTTTGCCTGCTGTAGAATTTATGTCCTTTAAACGTGCAACCATTTGCCTCTTTGAAAAAAAATGGATAGTTATCCAGAAACTAAACAAAGCCTAGAAGTACTGTTAACATCCCAAGTTGTAGGGTTCTGAAAATACACATAAAAACTTGCAAGGAATAATCATAATAATGCATTAGGCTGAAGTATTAAATTAAATCACAAATTGCTTCAGAGTTGCATTGGATGTTTGGTTTAACTGGGAGGCCCGACGCGAAGGTGGGTGCTGACCCCTGAGACCAGGCAGTGCTTGATGATGAAGCCTGATGTTCCTTAGTGACCCTGATGGACAGGACGGACGAGCTCAACCGGTCCAAGTGCCTGAAACATCCGCAAAAACAGGACAAATGGAGGTTGTTGTGTCCAGGGTGTGCGGCCAGCGGAGTGGGAGAGTCCCAGTCTCTTGCCTTTAGGGCAGCAGTTGCCAACCTTTTGGACCTCACGGACCCCCAGCGGCCTGCGGACCACCGGTTGGTGACAGCTGCTTTAGGGGATAGTCCTTTCCTCTAGCTGACACTTTTGGGATTTCAAGAGCCCATGGTATTAAAACACACTCTTCAAGAATTCTCCTCTTGCTTAAAACCATATTCCCGAAGTGATCTGAGATGTTTTTCGAAGGCATCACTGACTAGCTCTCTATAACCTAACATAACAATCAAATTCCCAAGGCATTCCCAGGTAAGCCCAACTCTCCAGCCTTAACCCTCAACACCTCCCCACCTAGACCTCTATTCATAGGAGGGAGAAAACAGGCATTAAAATTTAAAATAATCAGTAACATTTTAAGCCAATAACAAAGTAAACCTTTCCTACTTCAGTCTTTTTTAAAAAATTGTCATATTTGCTGCATTCCCAAGTTTGCATGCGGCACGCATTGATCAGCTATTCATTATATAAAGAAGCATAAGCGAATGCATGCAGTGTGGGGGCCCAGCCAGGCCACACCAGCCAGCACTCTTTTTCCTATTTTTAATTAGCTGTTAGAGATTTAAAACTGACACATGGAGCTCATGTTACATTTCTATTGGGCAGTGCTGCTCAAATATTATTCTTTTAAAAATAAACAAGTGATCAACATCTTTGAATTATTTATTTGCCTTTAATGATTGTTTGCCTTTCTGTAATAAAAACAGGACCCAGGCTCCGTACTGGCAAAGGGAGGGGGTGGTGGGAGGCAATGGAGGCCCATTATTTCTACACCTAATGGTTTAAATTGTGAACAGGCACAGGGAGGAAAAAAGATCTTGAATCAAATGTAAATGCAAACCCATTCTGAGAGGTGACCTACAGCATGGGTGCCACCAACGCCGAATGACAGCTCTCAGAGCATTCTGGAACATTCCCAGGTACGCGGCCTCTGGCACAGAGCCGAAGTCCATCGAGTGCAGCAGTACGGCAAGTCCCCCTGAGGTCTCAGTGGTTAAACATTGTCTAGTTTGCTGCTCAAAAGGATTTACGTGAAAGAATATGTATGAACGGCCCCAGGACTCTTTGCGGGTGATCCCTGCAAATGTGGGAATGTCACACATTTAGTATTTCACTTCATAACTACCCAACTGCTCCAGGAAGCATATCCCTCGAAAATGGCAGTGCCATAAATTATTAATTATTTAAAAAATTCATATTAATGACCCAAATTCTAAGCTCACAATGCAATTCTGAAAGGTGACACATTCGAATCTGACACGATTGTGTAGTTATAATCCTATATAATAAAAGGGTAATATGTAAATTGACCATCACTCCATCATAAAGATGGCAACGCCCAGCCGGAGTCCCCCAGTCCCAGGGGGGCAGCTGCTGATAGCGGGCAGCATGAGCGACCTGGTGGAATGCTTGCTTCGTCACCACAGCAATAAGGCAAGCATTCCGCCCCCAGCCATGGGTGGGCCTTTAGGCCGCGGAGAGCCTCTGGGCAGTGGGTGTGGAGCAGCCAGGCCCTGCAGAGAGTTACTGGCACACAGACTCATGCGCAGGGCTACTAGTAAAAGGATATAAAACATAATAATTAGAAATTGATGAATCTTGAATGCCATGAAGTCAACACAAATAAGTGTGGAGAGTTTTCTTTAAAACACACACACGTACACATACATGTACCCTGAGCCAAATTTATGTCATAGAACACCCACTTCCCTAAGTTGCAATTACAATAGCATCGGCCCCTGGTATCAGCAGGAGCACAGGAGAGAGGCCAGGTGGCTCAGAGGCTTCCCGTCTTAGCTGCTAACTTCCCCCGCATTTTTGTAGGTATTAGGAAAGGGGGTTGCAGTATATGTGCATTTAAATTAGAGACATTCACCCACAGGCACGTGGCAGGAAGGAAGAGCTGCTTTTAAAAACAACAGACAGGAACGCCACCACTCCATCCCATTCGATGAAACGTTGCCCCAGCGTAGCAAGGGAGAGAAGACTTGTCTTTTTTAAACTGGTTTCAGAGCCCAAGTCTGTCATGTAGCTCTGGTCTCCCAGGTGACCGAAGGCGTCGTGAAAAATACTTTTGTCTGTACCTAACCTTGGCTTCTGTGTGGACGGTAGACGGCAAACCCCAGGCTAGAGGACTTGGTGGTGTGCTGACGGTGCCATGTGCTCCATTAGGCCGTAATGTCAGTGACACTGGTCCCAGCACGTTCCTGGCTCCTTCCTTCCGACCACTGCCTCTGCCTGTGCTTTGGAAAGATCGCTTGGCTGCTGTGTCACAAAGACAGACCGTAGCCAGTGGGCGGGAACAACAGTTACCTGGTGACCTGAGTCACTGACACGACGGAAAAGGACAGAAGTGGACAGAGGTTCCCGGGGAAGGTGCTGATGGCTGCCTCATGGAGGTTGCTTCGGGTGCTAACAGGTCCACAAGTCACACAGCATCAGTGTTCTCCAACATGGCATTCCCTCCCAGTGCACAGCTTTTAACGTTGACTAAGATAAGCTCAGAGCCACCTTTTTACTCCCCCTCCTTCGGCAGTTTCCCATTGGCTACAGAGCGCAGCCCCAGGCGCTGTGCATGCGGTTACACATCTGCTCGGGAACTGCTGGGCTTCTGGAGTTGCAGTAACAGCGATGCCCATCTTGCCTAATCTCTCACTTAATTTCAAATGTGAGACAGGAGACTTGTCTATAGGTATATAGTATATACAGACCAAGGAAGAAGTGTAGCTACCACCATTGAAATGTGGAGTCACAGTTCTCCACTGTGCAGACAGGATATTGCTTGTAGCTCAGGTAATTTTCTAATTTTGAACGCAAAGGTAGGGAGTTTCTGAAATTCAAACTATACAATTCCCAGAAGGATCCCATAAGACAAACATGATCTCATTGTATCCAGCAAGTGATAGATATGACATCACTGCATTTTTAAACCCCGCAAAACAAACAGTGCCGTATGGCTCATTTTTCTTTTTGCCAACAGCAAACTAACAACAATCTGGCGCCTTCTAATAAACTGCTGCTGGCTCTGGGAGTACTTGGGGCCACATTTTCTTTATCCCCATTGCAACTGGTTTGCTAATAATTTCTTTAGCCTCCGATTATAATTAGAAGACACTTACTACTTCGCATAATCAAACTGCAATTGCTACTTGGGTGAAATCCAACCAATTTAAGTATCCGTACTTAAAAAAACCCACCGCAAAAAAATAAAACAACAGAAAAACCCAATATCTGGCAAAAGAGAATAACAAACACCATGCTCTAACGAACAGGTAGTCTAATAAGGTTTGCCTAACGTCTGAGTTATTTTCGTTGGGAGGTTGGAGAGCAAGTGATATGAAAAATATCAATCTGTTTAAAGGCATCACGGTGTGTAAATGGCAACAAATGAAGGCTCTTCCATAACACGAATGATGGGAACAAGGATAAAAAACTCACTTGGGGTTAGAAACATAACCGAGCCTTGGGCCTCTGGTTAGACGTGTGCTCCTGGGCGATCACCCCACATTTCTGAGTCCGTTTACTCGTTTGTAAACTGGAATTACAATACCTTACTATCATAGACACATCAGCTTTTGGATGCCCCCCAAATCCAGGTGAGATAAACGATAAGCAGGAAAACAAGCAAAGGTCTCGGGTGTGTTCCTCTCCGTGCCACTGTCATCCTGCCACAACGTTGGTCCAAAGGCACCGATGGGGCTTACGTAGAATTATGTGACCAAAGAGTTTGGTGTTTCAGATCAAACCTCAGGCCCAGTTCCAAGGTAGATCCGAGTTTACAGAGTTACCCTGATATAAACCACGCCAAACCTTTTCTGAAACGCATCACACATAAATATTTTAGGCTTTGCAGGTCACCTCTGATTTATGTCACACATGCTTCATTTTTTCAACCCTTTAAAAAACATAAAACTACCCTTACCTCGAAGGCCACACACAAAAAAGGCCAGGGGCAGACCTGGGTCGCGGCCGACCCGAGACCAGCGTGCTTACTGTAAAGCTATGCTCAGTCTACATCTCATGTCTTCAATGGCCCCCTCCCTTTTTTCTCTTCATTATTCATTTGCCAAAAATCTAATGAAATTCTCTTTTCTAGCACTACAGGAGTTTCAACTACCGTGGCCTCGGGTCGGTTCTGAAAAGCTCTATTCACACAAGCACCAGAACGAAGTTCTTGGAGCAAACCTTTCCTAGGTTTCTCTACTTCACACCGCGCTCCTGGCGGAGGGAGGGCCCGCGGGTCTTACCTGGCCGGGGGAACGTCGATGCTGGAGGAGACCACTTTTCGCTTCTGCTCAAGGAGACAGATGGAGCGGGCATTTTCCCTGTCATGGTCCGGGCCTCGGGTGGCTGGCCTGGCGTCGGCGTTTTTCACGTCTTCCTCCATGGCCAAGGGGAACCAGGGCTGATGAGACAGTTTTTTACTCAAGTCCCGTTTTAGGTCCTCCGGGTGAAACGTGAAGGTCATGTCTCGCTTAATGCTCCCCACCTGTGAAATGAACACAAATTCTCACTCACACACCTGTGAGTTCTGCAGGACCACGTGCAGGCGGCCACCAGCACAGACCGCAGACACCACCCTCCCTGGTCATCTTGAAGATTGTGTAGTTTAAATGGGAAAAATACAACATACGGATAAAATACCTGACACCACAGAGTAATATACGATTAATGCATCTTCTGTCCTCTGCAGACAAAAGCATAAAACACAAGAGAAGCCTTTTGGGAGAACAGAAACTTTGGGGGCTTGAAAGCATAAGACTTGTAAAAAAAAATCCAAAAATTTAAAACATCATTGCTTTCTACAGCTGCGAAAACTCAACTAAATAAATTCCTTTATTTATTTTAAGCCTTTATTGTTAGGGTATTATAGATATACCTCTTCTATTGCCCCTCTCCACTTGGTTCCTGCCCTGCCTCAGGCCTTTACCATCCTACTGTCTATGTCCACAGGTAATGCATATATGCATATAGGTTCTTTGGTTAATCTCCTCCCACCTCCCACCCCCTTCCCTCTGAGATTGGTCAGTCTGTTCCATGTTTCCATGCCTCTGGTTCTACTTTATTCATCAGTTTACGCTGTTCATTAGATTCCTTGTTCGTTTATTTTGATTTTTAGATTCAATAGGTGATAGATACACATTTATTGCCATCCTATTGTTCCTATTTTTTACCTTTTCTTTTGTTCTTCACCTTCTCCTTCTCCTTCTTCTTCAATACCCTTTAACATTTCATGTAATACTGGTTTGGTATGATGCACTCCTTTAGCTTTTTCTTATCTGTGAAGCTCTTTATCTGACTTTCAATTCTAAATGATGGCTTTGTTAATCTTGGTCATAGGTTCTTGCTTTTCATCACTTCGTATATTTCTTGCCACTCCCTTCTGGCCTGCTCAGTTTCTGTTGAAAAATCAGCTGACAGTCATATGGGTGCTCCCTTATAGGTAACTAACTGCTTTTCTCTTGCTGCTTTTAAGATTCTGTCTTTGTCTTTAACCCTTGGCATTTTAGTTATGATGTGTCTTGGTGTGGGCTTCTTTGGGTTCCTCTTGTTTGGGACTCTCTGCACTTCCTGGGCTTGTATGTCTATTTCTTTCACCAGGTAAAGGAAGTTTTCTGTCATTATTTTTTCAAATAGATTTTCACTATCTTGTTCCCTCTCTTCTCCTTCTGGTACCCCCATGATGTGAATGTTGTTACTTGAAACTGCCCCAGAGGCTCCTTACACTATCTTCATATTGTTTTATTCTTTTTTGTTTTTGCTCTTCTGATTGGGTGTTTTTTGCTTCCTTATATTTCATTCTCAGCATCCTCCACTCTACTGTTGATGCCCTGTAAATTATTCTTTATTTCAATTAGTGCATGCTTAATTTCTGACTGGTCCTTTTGTATATTGTTGATATTCTTATGAATTTCCTTGAAATTCTAAGTTCCTTGAAGTTTTCATTTAAGTTCCTTGAGCAGCCTTATAACCACTGTTTTGAACTCTGTATCTGGTAGTTTTCTTGCTTCCATTTCACTTAGTTCTTTTTCTGTTCTTTCATTTGTGACATGTTTCTTTGTCTTTGCATTTTGGCTACTTCCCTGTGTTTGTTTCTATGTGTTAGGTAGAACTGCTATGTCTCCCAGACTTGGCAGAGTGGCCTTGTGTAGTAGGTGTCCTGTAGGGCCCAGTGGTTCAGCCTTCCTAGTCACCTGAACTGGGCACTCCAGGTGCACCTCTGTGTGAGCTGTGTGCACAGTTCTATTGTAGTTGAGCCTTGATTAACGTTGGCATCACTGGGAGGGATTGACACCCAGGCTAATTGGTTGTGAGGACCAGCTGCAATAACAGCTGAAAAGCTGCTGTGCCGGAGACACTCCTATGGGGCAGGACTTGCTTCAGTGGGGCGTTGGTGCGCACTGTGTCTTCCCCTTGAGTGTGTCACTCATGGATGTGTAGAGTTGTACTTGGGTGTGGTGTGAAGCTATCCACTAGGTGCACTGGCTCTGGGGCCTCCTGGGAGGTACAAAGTCAGCTTATGCCTATGCCCTGCCCAGAGCAACCCAGCATGAGCTACAAAGAAATCTGCAAATGGCTGCTATTTGTGTTGAGCTTGGTGGTGCCCAGGAGAGGCCAAGCTGTGAACCAGGGTGGGCTACAGCTAGTGCCGGGCCTGGGGCCACTTACTGAGAGGTACAGGGCATCCTGAGGCCAGCTGCTGCTTGTTTGAGGGATTTTAGGAAAGTCCAAAGGATGAGACAAGAGAGGCCAGTTGAATGGAAAAGCCACTGGAAATTGCTTGGATGAGCCTGCAAGCAGGGAGGGGTGGGGTCTCAGGGAATCACAAGGGCAAGGATAAAAGTGTGAGCCAGGTTGATGGAGATTCAGATATGGCGCAGCCTGTCAGCTCTGTGGCAGGGAGGGCTCAGCAAAGGAACAGTGGCCTCTGCCAGGCCTCTGTCTTGAGGAAAGCTGCCCCTCCAGCTTTTGCCCTGATTCCAGGCAAGTTAGTTCCTCCCTGATTATCCCAGGTTCTGAATAAGTCCATGCACAGGCCCTTTAAGAGAATTGCCTGGGACTTCCACAGCCTCTGTGTCACTCAGCCAAAATCCCTGCTGGTTTTTACAGCCCAAAGTTACGGGACTTCTCTTCCAGCACTGGAAACCTGTGTTGGGGGCCTGGTGTGAGGCAGGCACCCGTTCCTCCGGGGGCCTCCACAGCCTAGATATCCCTCCCGATTAAGCAAACACTGCACGTGGGTGTCAGTCCAGCCGGTTCTGCGATTCCACCCATGTCTCTGCCCCTCCTACTAGTCGCTGTGTGTTTCTTCTCTGATTCTCTAGTTGTAGGACTTCTGTTCAGCTAGATTTCAGGTGGTTTTGAATGACGGTTGTTCTATATTTAGTTGTAAATTCTGATGTGGTTGTGGGAGGTGGCGAGTACTGTGTTTACCTACACAGCCAGCGCATCCGGAAGCCTCTAAAATTTTCAAAGTCAATAAATTCTTAAATATTTCATACTGATTATGTTCACAGAAGACAGTGATGACTAAAAACACCAAGGCTACCTTTGACTGTGAATATCGATCTTCACCTACTCTTTCGCTCATGAAGACTTGGATTTTATCCTCTACTTGCAGCAGTTAATATCTTAAGGAAATCCCTCCATTGATATGACAATAAAAAAGACATAAGCCTTCCTTATTGCTGACTAAATACAACGATGCTTAAGGCGTAAGACAAATACAAAATGAAACCGCAGGGAATTGAATCCAGCGATTTCAGGATCCGGGAAGACTGAGAAGGAGACTGACGTTACAGAAAGGTTTGGGTGAGGTGATGGGGATTGGAGCGAACCTGGTCCTGTCTTAAGTGCATGAAGAGAGCCGGTGCCCTGGGCCCTCACGCTCAGGGCTTTCAAAACACGCCTGTAAGACATGTCACAGGCCCACACCACAGGGCATCCCTCAGCACTTAGTTTCTGGGGTGAGTAAATCTTCGCCCACCCACTCACGTAGAAGCTCTGCTTGTTTGTTCCTTCTTAACTTCAGGTAGGGGAAAAGCACAAAGAAGGTGATCAATTAGAGTTAGAACTTTAAAAGCTAAAGCCACAAACAAAGAATTTTTTGGAATAACATGAGACTAGGATGCATGTTCAGTGAAAGTGGAGACTTGGCAAAGCATGAGATCAGTGGCCAGAAATTCTCAGACTGAAGGGCAGCTCGGAGGTATGTGTGTGCTGGAGTCACAGGGTCCGCCCACAGAGGAGGGCCGCCAACGCCCGGGAGGACTTGCGCTGTCGCGGGGACTGGGCCCGGCTCGCCGGCTGCATGTCAGGCAGGAGGGCCGCCCTGTGTTCCCGGAAGCCGAGCCAGTTTCACAGAGAACCGTCAGTCACGCCTGCCCACCTGTAACTCACTAACCAGTGACCACGTTTCTCAGAGTGCCTTAATAATATAAAAGGCCAAGAAAAATGAGTGTCTTTAAGAGCTAACTGTTTTAATGACACCAATACATTATACAGAGGAATAAGAAAATATTTCAAACTTCCAATAATGCAATCACTGTTCAATAACAATGTAGTTTATTTATTATTATTATTTTTTAATACTCACCTGAGGATATTTTTCCATTGATTTTTAGGGAGAGTGGAAGAGAGAAGGAAAGACAGCAGAAATATCAACGTAAGAGAAACATGAGCCCCGACCATGGGCTGGGCCGGGGAGGAGCCTGCAAGCAAGGTACATGCCCTTGACTGGAATCAAGCCTGGGACCCTTTGGTCCACTGAGCCAAACCGGCTAGGGCAACAACAATGCAGTTTAGAAAATTGACAAATGTAATTGCAAATATTTTAAATATCCATCTCTAATCGCTTTCTGCACCATGTTTCCTGCCTGGAGACGGGCGTGAGAGCGGGAGCTGGCTCACTCCCAGAGCAGCTCAGTCCCAACTGATGTTACGGCGGAAACATGCTACACACCAGGCATAAAAGGAAAGCAAAGCCTGGTTCTGATGGTTACCAACAATCTCTCCCTAAGTGCCAAGTACATTAATTAAATATTTAAGGAGTCATTAATATTCATCTGTAGCAATAATTGACATTCATGCCTCCCTGGGGGCCAACAGAGCTGGTGGAATGATCAGTCCAAAGAGAGGTGGGAGGGGAGAACATTACAGCAAGCTCAGCTGCTAGCTCACAAACGGAGGGGCAAACCCAAGCATTTACAGCCAATTAATGGAGAAGTGATGCTACAACTGTATGTCACACTCTTAGCCAAGACTTCATAAAAAAATACATTAGAGTAATATTCAACAATGTAAGCTATTAATCTTCTAGAGTGCGTTCCAAACAGAAAACCCATGTCTCTGTAGTAATCAGGGAATTTTCACAATGCAATGGCTTCAAAGACTATTCAGCCCAGACTCCTTGTCTAAAAGTGGAGTCACAATGAGTTAGAAATGACCAAAAAACCAAAAATGCAGAGCGAGGAAGAGATTATGGA